TTTCTTTTAATTATGAAAATATTTAAATAAATAAATAAACTGAAAAAAAACAAGAAAGAAGGGTAAAATCGTCATTACAAAAATTTTTAAAGTAAGTTGGACCAAACTCGCAACAAAATGAAAACTTTGGATCTGTGGTGCTAGTCCAAAACTTTTTGGACCAAAGTGACAATTTTCAGCAAACCACATGGACCATTTTTGCAGTTTTGTCTATTTTTTACCGGTAATTGTCGGTTACCACACGATCAAATTTGAACAAGGAATGTACTTCGTTGTTGTTTTCTGTACAAATGTTTTACTTGGATGGTGTTTTTTGGACACACCAAACATGAATGGTATTTTTTGAACGATTTTGAAACATAGTTACCCATATAAGTCATTTTCTTCCGGGATAAATGGATAGCAAATGTTGGATAACATTTGCGAGAGTCGTATAGCTTGATAGAAGATGTTGAATAAGAGAGATTCTCCATTGTAAAAAAAAATGGATAGCAAAGTTTTGGAATAGCTTTCTTGAATAAAATAATTCTTAATCCTTGTTTTCCAAATCATTATTGAGAACCAATATCCCTCCATGTTTTATGGAACGATTCTCCATTGTAAAAAAAAAAATCCAAGTTGTAACCATCTTTTACCTTTCTACCCATTAAAGTCTTTACTGAGCACTAATTTCACTCTTCATTTTAGCCTACTATATTTTATTCAATAAATTCCAACAAATTTTATCCTATAAATTCCCAATTAAAAATGAAAATGTCTGCATGATAAAGACATAAAGTTATTATATAACGTTCGATACGAATGTATCCGGATCCCTAATTTCCATTACTTTTAATTGGCGATCTGCTTCAAACATGGTTTGATTAAATGAATGCTGCTTAAGGTGATAGATGAAGTTATGATGATCATCATCAATGTTTACGCTGAGGTTGTAGTTTTCTCACCATTTTACTTTATATATGTTACATATGATTCCATGTTAAAAGTTTAATCTGAAACTGAAAGCCACATTCGTTTCTTATCACGGGTGGCATACCGATTGGAACTATAAACAACTACATAGATACACACTAATCCTTTAACTCGCGACTACACTTATAATAAAACCTTTCCAAAAATTCTATTGAAAAAAGATCCTTTTCTGATTTGTGGGGATGCTTCTGGTGACAGTGCTGCAGGGCTTAAAGCTGGTGCACTTATGTCACTGTTGGGTGCTTGGTTAGGTATGTTGCTTGGACTAATTTCAGCTGGTGAAGGTGCTGCGCTTGAAGATGGAGGCTCTGATATCGATCTACCCTTGTCTTTCTTACGTTTCTTCTTTTTCTTTTTACCTGGATTATCATCTCCTTTCTCTTCATCAGATTTCTTATCTTTATCTTTCTTATCCTTTTTATCCTTCTTATCTTTATCCTTCTTATCCTTATCCTTCTTATCTTTATCCTTCTTGGAATCATCTTTTGGGGGTTCAAACATGAACTCTGAGTTGTAAGGCACACCTGTTGGCGGGATCCATGTATCACCGGTGATGAATTTTCCGGCCAAGAAGCGTTTAATTCTTTTTGTTGTTAGCTCCTTAACGCCAGGCCATTTCACACGTTGCAACTTGTTAGATCCTGGTCCATGATTATTAAACTCGCTGTAATAAAGGGTATCGAAAGCAAAAGTTTCATTCCAGGGCAACCACCCTTGAGGTTGGATCAAATCATCAATGAAGGATTCCATTATAATGGTTCTTGAATACTGCTTCCATGGTCGTCCAAGGTAGGATTTGAGTTCCATTCTCACCGGAAAATACCCAGGATCCGCAACAAAGCTGCAGTTTTGGAGAACCAATCCTGTTGGCTGTCGCATTTCCTTTCTTCCTTGTGCTGTGACAATGCAATTCTGGTTATCCATTGGCCTCCGAACAACCATGATACAGTTTTGGAACACCGCCGCACTGTCTCCAAAAACAAAATCAATAGTACCGGAGACTGTGCAATCACGGTAGAACTGACGATATGTGTGTGCGTAGAGGGTGTCTTGGAAGCCATGCATGTGGCAGTTGTAGAAGATTGTTCTATCAGCACTAACACGCAATGCCACAGCTTGATGCTTTTCGGGACCTGCTGTGTTCACAAATCCAATATCTTTGGCAATGAAAAAGTCTCCAGAAACAGCTGCATGCATAAATTGTTGACACCGTGTTAATTACCTACATAAAAGCCGGTATGTATATTTAAGTTTCTACTTTATTTTTCGCAAAAGATAACACTACAATGGCTTGCTTACCAACAGTTGCAGTGTGGAAGGTGGAAACTCCGTCTATGTAGTTCAAGTTTCCTGTTATCTTTGTCTTCTCTGGGCCATCGCCGATGAGCACTAGATGAGTCAAGTTTTTGGGGAATCGGATTATCTCATTGTAAATGCCCTGTTTGATATAGAGCACAAACCCTTTCTTTGATTTAGTAGGAATGACTTTTAAAGCTTCTACGATTGACAAGAAATCTCCACTTCCATCTTGTGCAACAGTCAGGTTTGGATTGATTTTTTTTGGTGCTTTCTGTAACATACTCCTGTCGGTATCATCTACCCATTCAGGAAGATTGAGGTCGTTGTTGGATAGATGAAGCAAACGACGATTACTGGTCTGGGGTGTGTCAATTATTTCAAACGCCTGTGAGAGATCTGTGATCATAGCAAGGCAGTTGCTAGTTAACTCCATTGATATGTTCAACAATTTTCTCATTCTCTCTCCTGAATCTCCTTCGGCCTTTTCAAACCCGTCTAGGCAAGTTTGTTCATAAGTTATCGCACCACTCATCCAGATCTTGAGTTGGACAAGGGAACGCCCGACGTCACTAAGATCAAAACCTAACATTTTATCGACAGATCTCCTTAGATCCATAACAGCAAGATCTGCAAGCTCCTTGCAACACTTGAGAGCATCATTGGTTCTCGGGTCTGCATGAACCTCTTTCATGAGTGTGGAGTTGTTAGCAGCATCCTCAAGTTGCTTAATTGTGATCTCAAACGTGGCCTTTACGTGGTCATAAGGATCAGTAGAATGGGTGCCTGTTTTGGAGAGGCTTTCAACGCAAGTTTCCTTGTAGTCAGTGTGCTCGCAAACCGCTCTAATGGAGGCCTTTACGTCATCGTCCTGTTTGGTATGTTCTGCCTTTTCCTCGGAATGTCTGTGCATCATGACAATCAACGCAACAACAGCAGCCAGAAGCGCTATGAAAGTAACGCTTAAAATGGCAACTTTTGCGGTGCTGCCCATCCTTAATCCTTACCTCTTCCAAAACAAATAAAATTTTCTATTCTTAGATTTTCTTTTTTCTTTCTTCTGGTGTTCTTCTCCTACCTCTACATATATCTCCTAAAACCTAAATCTAATATAAGCTTTATGATATGTAAAGAAGCGTTGATAATTGAGAGAGGGCCTGAAGAGTAGGTTCGACCCTCCCCCTGTTGAATCTATGGGACAAAGGCCCCCCCTTACAGATTAGTTAGAATTTTAGGATAACCTTAATTTTTTGTGTGAATTAAGGTAAGAGCGAAAAGGTGATGAATGAGGGATCTTTATAGCTTGGTTCCTTTTTTCTCGAATAGAAGCTGAGGTTAGGAGGAAAACAAAATTTTGCGTTTTCTATTTTTAGATGAGAAAACAAAATGAGGGGTGTTGTTAAACACCCCAATTTAAAGATCAAAAGCCACTTTAAAGGTCAATTCAATTTTGATTTGGGTTAAATAACCCCAATTTGATAGGACATAATTGTCACATTTTTATTTAGGGAAAATGACATATAGCCCACAAATTTTGTAGGGTCACCATTTTAGTCATTTAAATTTTTATGGCTTTATGAGGGAATTAAGTTGTGGGCAACCTGTTGTTTTAGTCCATTTATTTGTTTTAGTCGGTTTGGGTGACAGACAATAACTATGCACTGCCATCCTGCTTTCTTTCTCTATTATGTAGTCAACAAAAAACAATCAACATTTTCTTCATTTTCTCCGGTTCGAAAGAGATCTCACACACATAGACAAATATTTTATTCTTTCTTCTTTTTTTCTCAAAAACAAACAGATGGTTTATATATGTTTTCGGTTCTGTGAAAAACAATAGAAGGGGTGGTGGTTGTCTGGTGATGGTCGACTGTGAGAAAACGAAGATCGAGGTGGTGGTTTCGGTTTGTGAGAAACACAAATGCAACAGGTGGCTTTATTGGTGGTGGTGGCTTTAGGTTAAACCCGAGGTGACAGTGGTTACCGTGTTGGTTTGGCGGAGGTAGAACTCACGGTGATGTTTGTTTCCGGTCACAGCAGGTAGTATAAGGTGGTCGTTTCTTGTTTGGAGTTTTGGCTATGGTATTGGTAATGGTTATTCACGAAGGTGATGACGGATGTTCTCGAGGTTCACAGGCGGTGGTTTAAGGGAGCCGTGAAGGTGGTGGCTAGGTGAAACGATGAAGCTGAGATGTCCGGCTGTTGTGTTCGTCGAGGAGCGTGGAACTAAAGGTGGTGGGATTCAGCTATGGTGGTTTACGAGGGTGAGATAAAGAGGAGTTGCGACGGGGTGAAGATCTGTCGATGGTGTTAGCGGTATTGGTGGTTGAAGCGGTAGTTAAAGGTAGTTGTTGTGTCCGGTTTAAATGGGTTTCGATGGGGGTGGTATATGGAGCAGGTGGGTCGAGTTGGTTGTCAGATGTGGGATCCGGCTGATCTGAGGTGGTATTAGCGGTGGTTAATGGGTGGAGTCCGATTGGAGTTCTTGGGTTTGGGAGGGGAGGTGTAAGGATGGTTTAATGGTGGTATAAGGAGGAGCTTGTGAGCTTGGTTGTTGGAGGGATAAGGTGGTCATGTGCTTCAAGAGGTTGTACCTAGACAACAAAAATATTGATGCATAATCAAAATTCAAAGTGAACATGGGAAAATTGGTCAACAAATGTCAATGTGGCAATGGGGTAACCGGTTGGCCCCTTTTACTTTGGCCAGAAGGACGTAATCGACCTGAAAAAAATGACTTTCTTCCCTCATAAAATCACAAAAATAGTTTAGAGACTAAATGGATCAATCCTAGAAAGTTCGTAAGGCATTTATGTCATTTCTCCTTTTATTTACTATTGAAACAATCATTTTATCAAATATTAAATAATTTTTACATCTTTACTCCCTTCTAGTTAAAACTTATTTCAATCTATATCATTTTTCTGTTATGAAAAATTACTTTCAACACTTATTACTTCAACTTAATGTATATTGTTATTTCAGTTATATATATATATATATATATATATATATATATATATATATATATATTATGTGTTGGGGAGGGGGTTTATATAGTATGGTCTTCTGAGAACTCAGAGATTCGTAAGAATAAGATAATCTTTTTTATTGTAATTCTTATTATAAAAAAATTATCTCATGCAATGCATATCTAAACGTGAAAGTGTTTATATATGCATTACAAGCTATGCACCTTTTCATCATGACAAAATTGCAAGAATGGTCCCTATGCTATGTCGAAAATTGTCACTTTGGGCAAAACAAGTTTGGACTAGCATTAATAATCCAAAAGTTTACATTTTGTTGCGATTTTAGTCCATTTTGGTTTGATCTTTTATAAAATTCCGATTTTGTCCTTTTCTATTTGTTTTTTGCTTTTCTTTTTGTTATTTAATTATTTTCCTAACTAAAAAATAAAAATAAAAGAAAAGAAAAGAATCTCTCTCTCTCTCTCTCTCTCTCTCTCATTTTCACATAAAAAATACCACCACAACCACCACCTGTCGGAGCTATAAACGCCACCATTGCCATCGATCAGTACCACCACCGCCTTCAGTCCCACCGTCGATATGAGTTACATCTCCCGACCACCGCCGAAGAATCATAATGTCGTCGCCATCTTCCTCAGCAAACCCATTTCATGTCGCCTTGTCAGGCGACCATTTTCCTTAGCAGACCCATCTTCCTCAGCAAACCCTTCGATTCCGACCACGATATGATGGGTGTTGCAGATCTGTAAGGAGGGGGCCACAAGGTCTGAATTTCGACAAACATAAGGATGACGAAACTGAGGAAGATGGAGAGGCCATTGTTCAACGAAAGTGAGCTTACCAGGTCTGAAGTCCGAAGAACAAATTTGAACTCCTGTTAACGATAAAATGTCAGAAATGGAGAGAAACGAAGGTGACGACAAGCTATAGTTTGCGAACAAAGATGGTGACGTTGGTGGTCCGACGACATACGCCGGTAACAAACAAATCTAGTGGCTGAAATCCAAATCGATGAAGATGATGACGCTGGTTAGGTGGAAATCCAAATCGATGAAGATGATGGCAGTTTCAAGATGAACAGAACACAAGCCCTAGCACCGCCGGAGTTCGTGGGTAACGAGGGTTTGTAAACGAGGATTTCAGATCTGCTGCCTCCTGAGAATCGACAAGCTTCGTCTTTTAGGGTTAGGGTTTCGCTGCCAGAGCTTCGACCTGGTGGCGTTCATCTTTTCTATCGGTGGTGTTCAGGTTTTCTGGCATGAAGCTTGGGGGAGGGAGTGAGGGTGGTGACGTTCTCTTAGAGAGAGAGAGAGAGAGAGAGAGAGAGAGAGATTTTCTTTTCTTTTATTTTTATTTTTTAGTTAGGAAAATAATTAAATAACAAAATGAAAAGCAAAAAACAAATATAAAGGGGCAAAATCATTATTTTATAAAAAATCAAACAAAAATGGACCAAAATCGCAACAAAATGGAAACTTTTGGACGATTAGTGCTAGTCCAAACTTGTTTGGCCCAAAGTGGCAATTTTCGACATACCACAAGGACCATTCTTGTAATTTTTTCTTTTATCATAACTTGAAACTTCAACATTACAAGTTTTAAAATTCGTGTTGATGGATCCTACAAGACAATTTAAAAAGAGTTATCATTGTTGTTGGAATATGATTATAAAAACGATACAAAATCACATGTTCATAACTAGGTGTTTTCGTTTCTTTTACTTACTTTTTTTTTTATTTTTTTTTCCTATTTTTTTTATTTTTTTCATCTTTTGAATATAAAAAATGTAATAGAATACTTTTCGTAACTATATTACTATGTTAGGCAAAATTGATGGATTTCAAATAATTAGCAAAAAGTAACTTATTAAAAAAGTTTTTATTTAAGTTTTTTTAGGACCGGGAAAGATATAGATACATCCTAATCTAGTTATATACCCTCTCAAACAAAAATTGAACATTCAACTTTTTCGAAAGATGACATATAATCACTACATCAAATCAAATTATACACTTATTATTAAACTTATTATCCTTTCAGTGATTCCCAAGATCTCTGATATCATAAATTTATTGTTATCGTCTTCATTGACAATGTCTATTATTTTCAAAGTCGATTTATAAGAATAATATTCATATGGTTTATAACTTTGATAATTAATAAAAATAAATTCATGTGGTATTAATATTACATATTTTATTGTTAATATTAAACTTCTTTTAATAAAATTAAAATACGAGTATGTTTGAAAAAAAAACAATAACAAATGAAAACTGCATTTTTTATTTATTGTAGATGTGTTTGGTAAAAAATAGTCGTAACTGTGTTTTTTAATGTGTTTTTGTTTTTATGTTAATTATAATAAAAGAAAAAAATTAGGCACCACCGAAATGACTAATATTATAATTTTTATTAATTCGGCTTCGGCGACCTATCGTCTAAGGACTGATAAGATATCAATACGAACCTATCAAACATAGAAAAGAATGCCCACGGTGAGGTGTTGTTAATCGTAAGTTATCTGTCAATTAAGTAACTTCCGTTATTTTTAACGGATACCTGGTTACTTGTAACACTCGTGTTCTAAACTGGTTAGCCTTTTATGTTCAGGGGCTAAATGTAACATCCCAAAATTTAAGGCTGAAAATTTCGTTTTTAATTAAGTTATTATAAAACCATAAGTAATATAAAAACATCCATAATATCATGGCATGCCAAAACCAAAGTAGAAATAATCAAAACATGTTATCATAAAACAATATCAGAGTATAATCCCAAAGATCTCATGTGCGGAAAACCATAGGGTGATGTGTTGCAATCGAGCCGGCTCCTTTCCTTTAACAACAAAGTACCTGAAACCAAAACTGAAAACCATAAGCACGAAGCTTAGGGAGTTCCCCCATCATACCACACACTATACAATAACATACTGTCAGACAATTCTGGGGTGCCTGACTTACCCAGCTTAAGCCATTCTGGGTTGCTTGACTTACCCAGGTCAAGCCATTCTGGGGTGCTTGACTTCCTGTCGGTCTATTTCACCCGACTACCGGGGACTATTTCACCCCTACCACTACCATGCAATAATATAACACACGTATACTGCCAGGCAATTCTGGGGCGCCTGACCTACCCAGGTCAAGCCATTCTGGGGTGCTTGACTTACCCGTCGGTCCTTACGACTGACATACAAGGACTATTTCACCTCCTACTACTACCACATAATATCATAGCATAAACATACTGTCAGACAATTCTGGGG